CATCCCCGAGTCTCGGGATGGCGCGTAATAGACACTCACGATGTATTGTGATAAAGGCGGACGATGGACCGCGCGGTTTCCCGTTTCCAGGGAGAAACGATTTAGGGATCGACTCGAGAGCGTTATCGTCGTCGTCGCCACCGCTGCTGTATTAATCTCGTGCGGTTAACTGAAAGTTGAATTGGATTTTGAACGAGTTAAATCGTCGAGAGGGAGATTCGACGCGGACGCGCACTTTTCCAATCGCAGGCTCGTCGCGCGGAACCTGCAGTGCGCGCGATTTAAAAAGTCCCATGTCTGACCAAATTGCCGGGTCTGAGCTGTTCGAGGCGAGATCGTCCGCTTTCGTATCAACGGGGGAGGGCGGGGGCGAGGGGAAACGTGAATGGATGGAAAGGGGTTCGCGCGCGCTCGCTGTCGTACCATTGTAAATAGGAGGACCCGCGGCCGTGAGACTGGAGTGGTGTCATCTCGGTGATACGTCCAAATGGAAATGTGACGTTTCCTCCGATCAGCGCAGATACGTCATGCACGTCGATCCCATCGGAATCCTCCACACGACCAAAATGGAGCTGGGCGTATACACAGGCATACACTCTCGCATACATATATTTACATAACACATATACATGGGATAGCTGTATATGGATGTGCACCGGGGTGACATACGTCCCAAGAAGTGCGTACCGATGGCGCGCGGATTTTCAGCCGGAAATACTCCCGACGCGCGAGTCTGAATGCGAGTCTTTGACACGGATATTCCGAGATGTGAAAAGTATTTTTTATCCAGTCTTTTTTATTCTTGTCCTTTTATGCAATTTTATTTCCGATCGTTTATTTGAGAGCCTTCTTTTTAATATTCTTGAATTAAAGCGATATCTAAAGACCTTCTATGAGAAATCGTCTGCAACGATCGGTACGCACTTCTTTTTAGGAAACATCTCGTGCACGCGTCCCCGCGTCGGTGGTCCGGTGTAGTGGAAATCGGGACTTCGAGTACGTTTAATTTGCTCAGGCTGCCGCCAAGACTTCTAAGGCGGATCGATCGATCGATCCACTGCGCCAGGTGCCGCGAGGTAAATATTAGCCTCGTCGAGTATGCAGCGACAATTGCAGCCGGATGCATCACTAACGCAGCTTCTCGCTTCCTTCCGATGCCAGCAGCAACAGCAGCAGCAGCAGCAGCAGCAATCGATCGCGACGTCGAATGCGACAGCGGTTGCTTTCTGACTTCCGCTTTTTGCGCGCGCGCGCGTTTCTCAGCTTCGTATGATTCCTTTAGACTTAGACAACGATTTACGGAGACTCGAGCATCCAAGAGAGAAAAGAAAGAGAGATCTCCGATTCCGAGATGTCGCAACTTTGAACACAGTGGGTTGCGAAATCCTACGATATGAAGACGTAAGAAATTTCTTACGTAAAGAAGCTTGGAACGGAGATCTTCGATTTCAAATCTTTGGATGCTGAGCGAGACTTTGGCCCGGTTGCATCAACGTTGATTGGGGTCAATTCCTAATTAATCAATCGTCCTCCTTTTGTGTTACAGATTGTATAATAATAATTATAATTATAATTATAATAATAGAAGGGACAGTTACTACTAAACTAGGATTAACTAATCGACGCACATTTGTCGGTGCAACTTAGTGTTTATCTGTAGGCCTGTTCGTTTTAGCTGAACTTCTTGCACAGTTCATCTTTTCACCTTTTCTCTCCAACGTGAACAGAAAAAGAGGAAAGATAAACCATGCAAGAAGTTCAGCTAAAACGAACAGGCCTCTCTTATCTCCGCTTGGATTCTCGACTCGTTAGGCTGTACAATTTTCGCGCCGATTCGTCACGACGGTCACGTTCGCAGGTCGTCATGACGAATCGTCTCAGTGCACAAAGGGATTTCGCGAGTCCGTTTGCACTCGCGATCGTGGAGCGTAACGATCGAGGGTGGCCTATACCGCCCGTTCTCTCAACGACTACTTGTAATAAAAACGCTACAGTTCCTAGACAGTGAAAGCGATCTCCCGCACCTGACCACCGACGACGACGACCTAACCGAATTATCGCGCCCTCGATACCAAATGTTCCTTAAGTTGCGTCTTTGCGAAAATACTCCTGTAAATAGTCAACGTCTACGATAACTGAAACGCGTGCGAATTGTATGCGAAGATGGTCGCAATCGAAATGTGATAAGATGTACGAGATAAAAGGAGTGCGCGCGCGCGCGCGCAGCGTGCTCCATCGATCACCGGGATAAAAGTTCCAAAGTGTGCTAAGCTCGAGAGGATTTAGGTTTTATCACTCGACGCACACGATTGTTGACGCGACCGTGGGTTTGATAATCAGCGACAGAGAAGGAACGGTATTTGGTAAAAAAGTTAAACCTATCTTACGTTAGAAATGTGATTCCGTGAACTCTTTCGCGAAGCCCCTTTTTTAGTGAGTTCCTCCGATCCAAAGATTTTGGAATTCTTCCATACTTCTTGCAGCTGTACGCAAAATCGTTAACTGTACGTTATCTCATCTGTCGCGCGTGAAATTCACGAGACGCGACTCGTGCTTAGTAAATTTTTGGAACCCAAGTGGGCTCTAAAGCGCATTCTCGTCGCGAAGGGTTAAAACCGAATGCCAGTTATTGCACACACACACACACACTCGATGTAACTGTATAAATATCGATATCAATCTGTCAGTCTCGTGTCTCTTTGATGGTACTTAAATCAAATGGTCCTTCCGGGCCTTTCCGTATTCAGCGGCGCAACGTCGATAATGTTTCTTTCTAAGCGAAGTAAGTTAATGGAAAAAAAAGCAGTATACATATATAAATATATAAATCTCTTTTTCTCGTAGCACGTTCCTCCTTTGGCCCGTCGTGCGACTCGAGCACGAATCTTTTGTACATAAAAAAAAAAAAAACGTTGCGAGTCGCGGATGCGAAGCGCGAAAAGGTAACGTTTAATTAATTGACACTCTTGTCTCTTGTCGCAAGCCGACCTTGCGTATAAACTCATTGCTCGTTTATATGCGATGTATTTTTGTGAACAGTATTGAAAGTGCTACCGTTGTACAGTTATTACATGGTATAAGTGTACTAATGATGTACCTATAATGTACATAGATATATTTAATTAAAGTGAATATGAATTTGTGTAAACCCCGGGTGTTTGTCCCCCTCCCCCCTCTCTCTCTTTATTTATCTGTCTATTTGTCTTTACATCCCTATATTTCCGGTCCGAGCGTCCCTGGATTTTGAAGCTACTTGCCGCACGCTCTCTCGAACGCAATTTGCGCTGATTAATGTCATTTGTCTCGCCCGCGCCTAGTTAACTTGCCGGTAATTCGGTTTCGTGACGCCAAGTAAATTCGTCGCGTTAACTTACCGAAAATTTAGAGACCCGGTTCGCGCGCGCAAGGTAAACGCGGATTAAATTTCTGAAGGAGACGCCTGGCTCGTGAATTCGTCTCGTTATCTCGATACCTTTGCCAGCGATAAGGTCGTATTAACGCGCGACTGTTTCTGCATTTAGCGCTTACGTAATTTTACCATGGGACGTAATTATCACGCAAGGCGAATCGTTCGAAGGAACCTGCCGACAGATAACACGCATGCAAAAAAGAAACGCAAACGGAAACGGAACAGGCGACGAATGGTGAGAGATACTCGGAAAAAGTCAACCGCGTTTGCTTCAAAGGAAGCACACGAAAAGAGCTCGTTCGACGCAGTGCTAAAGAGAGAACGGATAAATCAATAAAAGTCGATGCGAATTTTATTCTGCAAATTTGTGGAGATCGGAAGCGACGGTCAGGAGCTCGCGACGCTCTCGAACTGATCCCCCCTTCTCCAATTCAGAGATTATGTAATCAATATCGCGGAATACATTTCTATCAGTCGCCCGTTAATCCAACCATTTTTGCAGCACGGCGGCACAAAGGGACCGCCAATCGGACTTGCACGTCGGGCATCGCTTTAAAGCGGGCATTGTTCGGTCGCAGATGGGATTGACGTTTCGGTGCGATCGCTCAAAGGCGTCCGCGAGTAACGCGGTATACCGCATAGTCGCGATTGCGCGAGTCCGCGTTTACACACGCGCTATACTTTTCCGATACGAGAAACGCAAGACCGTCGGCGTTTGACATTTGAAATTCCGCCGAGCGATAGCGGACGGAATTATGCCAGGGCGATTTCGCGCACGCGAGGGCGAGAAAAATACGTGCGCCTCTCTTTCCCTTTCCCTGAACGCGCGGCACTTCGCGCGAGGTCTCTCGCTGGAGTCTCCGCGCTGGTTCTTCGTCGCGCCTTCCCTTGACTTTACATTACAGCGCACGTGACTCGGAAGTGAAATGATCGACGGTGCACCCCTTTTACATGTGTCTCACGCGAATTTGCAATTTTTCGAAAGTAAAGCCGCGAACGCGCCTCCGACCTTCTAAATCGCACGTTTAGAGGACTGTTCGGCTGGATCATCTGAAATATTAACGGCACATAAAATCAACGTAATATAAATCAACGTAATGCATGATGTATCAGTTCTCGTCTTCAAAAATTTTTTATTCGCGATGTCGGAGCAATGGGCTTTTTAATATTTCTACTGAGAATTCTTTTCAAATAATTTAAAACACAATTTAAAAAGAAACTTGTTAATGAAGTGTATTCAAATTTATTTCTAGGACGAAGGATGTTATATAATAATGAAACGACATTTAATGATACTTTAATGATATAATAACATTAATAATATAATAAAATATTTAAATGCTATTTGTAATAGCTGTAGAAGATAATACGCGTGATTATCAAAACTTATCAAAAATATATTTCTAATACAAAATTATCATGTTTTATAACTCTTTGATAAAGTAATCAATCAAAACAATGAAGTTTATATAATCCATGCATACAATTAGAAAAAAACAGAATTCTCTCAGTGTAATAGCTTTATTTCTAATACACACAGTTAAGAAAATGTATTCTAAACAGCGTGACAAAACTAAATTTAATCAAATGAGTGCGATTAACAGACGGTCTATCAACCCTATGTAATTTTCACAGTGAACAATTCTTTCAGCAGACAAATATTTTTTCGTACGAAGATTTATTCGCATTTTCATCAACGCCGAACAGTTCGTAATTCGTAGACAGAATTAGGCCGTTCTATTTAGCCGAACTTCTTACACGGTTTATCTTTTCTCTTTTTCTCTCCAACGTAAAAAGAAAAAGAGGAAAGATGAACCGTGCAAGAAGTTCAGCTAAAAAGAACAGGCTTAATGAGACACTCTGATCCCAAACCGTGTTCTTTCAGTTATTTCACAGCTATCTCGAGCAGTCTCAGACTTTCAAGAATTGACCAATCACAGTAAATTATTCTCCTCAAATTCGATTGTGCGTGGTCAATTCTTACGACTCACGACCATACGACTCGCATTGTAGACCTAGCGTTACAAGTTCATATGTAATGCTACACTTATATATGGCTATACGCAATGTTTGATTTTTTAATTAACAGATACAAAAGTGTCAAAAGTTATCGTAAAATTCTAATTTACATGGAGCTTATAGATTACGCAATAAACAATACTTTCTGCATTATAACGCGAGAGACAGAGAACATCATGTGGCTGTTCTCATCTATACTGTTCGAAGCTAGCCGAAGTTCCGAGCGCCTGTTGTATCATACAACTATGTGTGTGCAACATACATACGTATATCCCTTCTATTTGGGTGTGTGTGTGCGTGTGTGAGTGTGTGTAAGTGTGTGTGTCCCCACCATCCGATTTTCGGGTGAGCAACTTCTTCATTCTGGCATCAGAATCTCGTCCACCAGATGACGCCAGTTCGCTGGATGCAATTCACGTATTTTCGGGCTCCAATTTGTTCTCCTGCTCCGCTCCACAGCTGAGAACGATTCTCAATTGGCGGCTCGTTCATTCAATAAGTCCAGAATTGTTATCGGGAATTTCTTCTGTGATTGATCGCGATCAATCACGATCCATCAGCTCGCGATGAAAGGGCAAGAACTGAAGGCGATAATATGGAGCAAGGTGGATGGCAAGCTGGAGATCCTGAATCAAGTGCTGTTGCCGGAAAACACTCACTACATCCAGGTCAAAAACGTCAAGGATGGCTGGCAGGTGATCAACAAGATGCAGGTAAGCTTATCATCCAGCTATGAACGTCTTCCTCCAAGTTTGTTAATGATAAAACTGCTCAATATGACGATGAAATTCCATGTTTGCTATAAACTGCTCAATATGACGATAAAATTCCATGTCTGTGAAAAAATACCTCAAATTATGTCCTTTTCTCGATATTTTATTAATTTTATTACTGTACGTCAACTCCACCTTCTGTACACTTTATCAGCTTGATAGCAAACAATATTATACGATCGAGAAAGTATAATAGGATGTAGATAGAATCTTCAACAAGATATGTACATAATATATTTATTTACATAGGTATATAGTTTGATGATTGTGTATACAGGTACGAGGCGCACCAGCTATAGCTATCGTGGGCAGCCTCAGCCTGGCAGTGCAGATCCTTCAAGATCCAGACATCTACGAGGACAAGAAAGCTCTTTGTCAAACTATCGAGGATAACCTGCGCTACCTACTAACGGCACGTCCCACCGCGGTCAACATGAAAACGGCAGCCGACGAGCTCATAAGCCTGGCACGTGATCTCACTAAGGATGCCTCGTGCACGCTGTCCCAGATGAGAGACAAGTACACTCTTTTGGCTGTTTGCTATCAGAGTGGGATACGAGCGGCCTGATTTACAGCCTCTTGAAAATTGTAGATTCATAGACCATATAGATGAGATGCTGAAGATAGATGTGGCGAACAACAAAGCGATCGGGAATTTTGGAGCGCGCGACATTCTGCGCAATTTGCCCGAGGGGAGTTTTATCAAGGTTTTAACCCACTGCAATACCGGCAGTCTCGCCACTGCAGGATACGGCACAGCTTTAGGCGTCATCAGATCTCTCGAGGAGATGGGAAGGCTCGGTAAAATAAATATAGCCTGTTTTCGACATTGTTATCTTGGCCGGGCGAGTAAGATATACGTTTCTCGATCGTTATCTATTTGTTCTAGGACACGTCTATTGTACCGAGACCAGACCGTACAATCAGGGCGCCCGTTTGACTGCCTACGAACTGGTGCATGACCACATACCGGCAACTCTGATCTGCGACGACATGGTCGCTGCGTTAATGAAAACGAAACAGCTCGCCGCGGTGGTTGTCGGCGCGGACAGGATCGCCATGAACGGCGACACCGCGAACAAAATTGGAACTTATCAGGTAACTTATCAGTCACGAGTATATGATGTCTCAATTCGTAAATATCACAGATAGCGTCGTAAACAGTAATGAATGAAGGTAATAATTTGTTCGAAAGATAGCCCCGGTTTATTATCTTCAAGAGAATATTGGAATACCGGTATCTTCAAAAACATCAGTATGTACACACTTACGTAATTATGTCTCTATATTGATTACAGATTGCGATTCTCGCCAAGTATCACAACGTCCCTTTCTACGTGGCTGCACCACTGACGTCCGTGGACTTCCAAATGCCCGACGGTGACGGCATAGTCATCGAAGAGCGACCCGCACGAGAGATGACCGAGATAAACAACCAGAGCATCGCGGCACATGGCATAATGTGTTGGAATCCGGCGTTCGACGTGACCCCGGCGAGTTTAATCACCGGAATAATTACGGAAATCGGCGTTTTCAAGCCGTCAGAATTGATTAATGCGAAAGAGAAACGTATCTCCGAAGAAAACGTCCTTTCGTAGACATATAATGCGCCCGCGAGCATTTATGTGTATTTATCAATTATGTGTATATTACCAATTGTAAATGTCGAGATGCATGACTGGTTTAGTTTAATATCTTGCGAACAGTGCCATGAAAAATACAATACTTGTATAATATAAGAGCTCAGGAAATTCAATTTTGTATCGAACTGTATAATTTTATATTAAGTCTTTTATTGAAATTGTAAGGATGTATATGAATGTTATTGTTATATTATGCCAACGGCATTCCATATTGCTGCGCTAAGTTATTTCTAAAGATTTATAATCTATCGAATAAACTTTTTATCCGTTTTCGTGGATATCGTCATACAACAACAAGCGTACGATTTAAGTGACATTATTAAATAATATTGCGACATTCGAAGTTTTACTATTACTTTGTTATAAGCTGTAGGGATAATCAGGTGAACGCCTCGACCCTCGCTTTTAATAACTAGATTTTTACATTCGCAAAAGAGTTTCGAGTCTCCAAAATCCAGCAGCTCGACACTTTTCAAAATTCTTTCGACGTAAATCTCAGCTGTTTCAAAGTGTCCACGAGCGTGTCGGCCGATATATCGACACGCCTGCACAACGCCCGCGAGCTGCTAGGTTTCCTGCGGGAAAGCACGGGATTCTATTTTCGCCGTCGAAAGACGCGCGCGGGACGCCTCGTCCGCCGCGGGTTTCCGCGGCGCGCGGTGCTTTAGTACCGCCAGCCTCGCCGCTCCGCGCGGAACTTGGACTCCCGGAATAGTTTCGTGGCACTGTGAAGGAGGCGTTTTTCGCCTCGCTAGTCTCGAAATCGGGGACCGATCCTGGTGCCCGAACCAGGCGGGACGGCAGCTCGTGTTCTTCGCGCTTCTCGTAGCGCCCGTTCGCAGCGAGATCGAGATCTCCAGCGGGATTCTCTCGACCGATCGGCCGGAGGCAGGTTTCTCGTTCCCCGATGGAGGTGGACACGGAGAACAGCGTCGGGATGGACGGGACGGACGCGCTGATGAGGCCTGACGACGGCGGCGGCGTCGTCAACAGTAACGTCAACGACGACGATGAGGCGCCCACCGTCGAGGAGACCTACGAGATCACCACCACCAGACGCAAAACCATTCGCACTAGTTACAAGATCCAGGAGGTAAGCTGTTGGACGACGTGTATACACGACGATCGCCGTAACTGTCGAGCATCCGCCGACGCCGCAACGTGGGCGTCTCGTGGTCGGAATGGTCGGATATGATTGTACGCGGGGAGATCTCGGGGAGCGATGAGCTCGGCGCGCTCAGAGAGACGAAAGTGTAAAATTGAACCGGAATAAAAATATATAATTAACGGAGATTGAAAGAGAATTGACGATTTTCCTTGAAACAAGAATTCTCAGCTCCAGTTCGGTACACAGAAAAAAAATGAAGTGTCGAATCAACACAATGAGATTATATTGCGTTTTAAATGAAGAAAACTTGCTCGAAGTCATTTATATAGTTCAACCAAGATTTGAAGATAAAACTTGAAATCTTGTAAAAAGATTATAGATTGTTGCGTATACTCTTATATGAGTTTTGACACTTCTTTTTTTTCTGTCTGTAACGCGTTATTTTGAGACAAACGTTGAACCCCCAAGATTTATATTGATAGGTCTCGGAATACGGTAGGCGGAATTTAAACGCGAGAATCTGAATGGAACTGAAAGTCTGCCAGATTTGAACTCGGCTAAGTGAGAAAAATTATTTTTCTCGGTAGACTGGGTAGATTACGTTATAGATTATAAGGTTTCACGTTGACACTCGACGCTCATTTTCAGCGAGCAAAAATCTTCAAGTGGTTTTGCTTTGACTCTGGTTTCCCTTCAATACACGAATAAATCTTGAAACCTTTTACTAAAGATTTCCGTGGAGGGGAACAATTGATGAGTCTATAATAATTTTTTTGGTAGCGTCAAAGAAATGGAGAATTGAATTTGTTCAATATCCAGCGTCGTGTCGCTGAATCGTCGTTGATCGTCCCGGTGCAATCGAAAATAAACTTTGAAGTACGTAAAATATTAATTACTTTCAAGTAATATCTTCAAGTAGTAATATTTTACAAATACCTATACATATATGAATAAAAAATATTATTTCCGAAGATTTTTGCTTGCTGAAAATGAGTGTCGAGCGTCAACGTCAAAAGGCACCTATACAGACAGAATGAGAGAGGAAAGGATTTTAAACGTTCTCTCGTTCCGCGATATCGAGTATTTGCAATTTATTTCGGCGCGCCGTATATTCTGGATAATATTATTCGTATCGTCTGGTTATACCGATAGATTGTCACACAGAAGTCGCGAGTTAGTAAACTATTCCGGTCGGTGTTTATTATTTATATATACAGAGAGAGAGAGAAAGGGAGAGAGAAGCGTGAGTGCAACGCGGCTGCAGAATTCACGCGGCTGCAACGCAAAATTCGTCGAGCAAGTGCGTAAGCCGTCGATCGCTACGTAATACGATTTGCCCAAACAGTGGTCCAGCTACTGTTTATTTATCGTTCCGTGCCCACCGCGGCATGACTCACCGACATATAACCCGTTATTTGGCTCAGACGCGGATAAATTGCGCGAAAATCGCAAAATCATCTTCGCCGCGGTCAATTTCTGCGCGATCCCGTCGCAACGATTTTCCGCTCGTCGAAGCGACGACGGATCCTCTCCGTCGTCGCGATTGTCGTTCCACGTGAGACAAACGGCCGCGATCCTACGTCATTGTCAGGACGACGATTTTAGAACTGGCAACGAACTCTCTTCGAGCGCAGAAACGACGGCCGGCAGCGTAAATCCGATGAACGAGCCGCGTCGTCCGCGATCGGAACTTCCGATGAACGTATACGCGTTCGCATTTGTGATTTGCGTTTTCCTGTTGCTGTCGCATGTCGCGCGATCTTCGTTAAATTGATGCTGTAAAAAAATTATGTTTCAAGAAATAGAAATTTGAGAACTTCCGATGACTCGCGAAAAGCTCGTGAGAACGTCAAATCTTTCGCGTTGTTACAAAGAAGTGTCTCTGAAAATGAAAACCTCTAATTAAGAAATACTTCGCTTACCCTGTTAAATTTTAAAGGATGAAATTGAAACCAGTACCTTAAATCAAATAACATTTCGTTATTTTTAACTACCATGTGTACTGAAATTTATTATCTTAACCCAAAATAGTATATTGTTTTAACTCCATTAGTTTAATTAACGATATATTGAGTAGGAGCAGTGGTGATTTATAGGAATGGTAAAAAATGTCCCAAATTGAGTATAATTTGGCACTACGAATTTAACAGTGTAGGAAGAATAAACTTCGCGTGGCGAAAATCGACTGAGAAAGAGACATTGACACCGACGACGTATATTGATTATAATGACTGTTGAAAAGCAAGGCTCAAAGCGTTAAAATGTGACCGACAACTGTCTGCATACCGAAGGGAATTGCAAAATTCTTGGCTTAAGCTCGAATGTCACTTCAACAGCGTGTTCCGCCGAATTAACGAAAGGACTCGTTAAGCGTGAATTATGTGAGCCCGATGGTGTTAAACGAACTGGGACTTTCCGGGTAAACAAAGAGGGAATAAGGCATTACAAACGCATAATCGCGAAAAATTAGGCGGCAAAGCGATTTTTATGTGAAATAGATTGCGATGGAAGAGATTCCGCGGATGCCATATTGCACGCGCATTTGCGATCGCGTCGTAAACTCGACGATTGTCTAAACGCGATTAGCGGTCGCGCAAAGCTGCTACCGCGTATTCCACATTTAAACGAGAAACGGAGCTTCGTTAAAGCGAAGCGACTAAATTGCAAGTCCACTTTGTCGCGGACGGCACGTGACGGCATAAATTTCACCGGCGATCTGCTTTCGTGAAAGCGACGATATGTTTCCCTCCGTCTTGATGAAGACGCTCGCTTTCCGAACACCCTGTTGCAACACGACCGAAGAAATTTAATCCGTGCGCCGCGGCTAATTTTGAATTATTGCGAGTTCTGCCAACCGCAAACTCTCCCTTTGCATATATTTTTACCATCAAATTTGGAAATAATGGACAATGTAAAATGCATCGCCAAACGTTGCATAAACGAAAAATTGTATACGCAGGAAAATGCTCTTCGCACACATGCTTCCTTCTTTTTAAAGATAAACACTTTATGACGTTGTGATTTTGAACGCAAATAATTGTCATCTGTTTCTTTCTATTAAGTATTTAATTTAAATGTTTAGTTTAATGTTATGTGAAAAACCTTGGACTTTGTTTCCGGATTCAGTCACTCGGCCAAGGCGATCGAGCAATAATTTCCCGCGAGTAATCCACGATTCTTCGATGATCATCGTTCACGGAACGGACGATCATCGAAGTCTCGTTTCGACCTCGGTGCTATTTTAAAAGTACGTCAGCGCAACTCCTCGGATCGTTCTATCCTGCAGAAACGGCATCAGAGGCAACGATTTATCGAACAAGTGGCTGGAAATCGTGAATGCGCTACTTTTAAGTCGCGGATGCTGGCGCCGAGTCGCGTCTCTCGCTTTATAAATACAGGAGGAAATCAATGGGTGTTTTCACGTTATGAAATCCCACCGACTTCCGGGCCAACGTTGAATTAGTATACGGGGAACACTTGGGCGAATGAGAGTAAACATAATATAACGACGGACAGGTGAATACGGCGGAATAGTGTCGACGAAACGGAATGTCGCGAACGGAAAACGCGAATGGACGTTTGCGGGACTAAAACGATTAAGAATTTCGAATTTCACGACCCGAGCTTAATTGAATGTACGCACGTTTATTTGACGCTAACGTTTAACGACAACTAGGACAAGGGACGACGGCGTCTCGCTCGGCGTGACTCGCCCCGACGACGCATTATAGGAACCGGAGAGACGTTTTAACCGGCGCGCTGAAGGCAAGCGTAAAGTGAACGAATAAGCAGACGAGTTAGACGAGTTTCTTCGTGGCAGCTGTCGCGCATAACGTTAGCGAAAACGTCAGCAAATCATTCGGGGTCGTAAAACGGAACGGAAATCAATTTGAGCACCGCGCGCGCGGCGACGAAGTACGGGGACGTTTTGTTGCTGCAATTAACACTCGAGGCTTTGAAGCATTTTTTTGCTGGATTAAATTTACGCGAGCAAGTTTTCAACTGGGCTAAGTACTCTCGAGCGTATTAGACGACGACATAAATTTGTTTGATATTTATGTATATTAAGTTAATATGATTCTGTTAATTTAATGTACGAAATTTATCTAAAATTATTATTGGAAGATTTAAAACGACCGAATATCCTAGTCTTCGATAAATTTTAGTATTATCTGTATTAAAAGCTTTTTTAGCTCACTCTCTTATTGAATTTCTTGAAAGAAAAAATTTCCAAGTAGCCAAAAAACCTATCATTAACTTTAAACTTAAGAACGAGACTTATGTATGGTAAATTCATTAGAATGACATATTTTTGAACGTCGAATGCTTGTTGCTAAATCCATCCGCGTCTTGTTCACGAACGGCTGACGAAAAGCAGAGACAGCTCGAAAGTCAGACAGGATTGTAGAAAAAAACGAAAGACAGAAAAGTCAGGGAGAAAGAGAGAGAAAGAGAGGAAACGAGTTGCGTATAAATTCGACGACGTGTTCTCGTAGTACACGAATTTGTCTCGTAAATTACTCGTCCTGTTTCTGACATTCGATTAATCATCGCAATTCTGAGTTACCCACCCAACCGAACGATAGCAGTATACTGGCAGCTGCTGAATTATTTTCGAGTTGCAGCGCTCCGCGCGATGTGAATGAGCTTTCTGTCTACTGTGTCTCATGGGAAAGCCGCGGAAAAGAATAAAAATATCTGAAGCGCTTCTAAGTATAACCAGACTTCGACGCCATTCTTTTAGTAAAACCATTGCACATCTGACGCGAGATTAACGGGGACTGGCAGTTGGAAGTTAATGGAACTCTTTTCGCGAAATGCAGCGCGATAGGTAAGAGATCGAGTGAAAGGATAATCCTTTTTGTCGTACAATGGCAGTAACGCAAATTACACACGCGTTCGATCACGTAGCAATAAATACCGACATCGCGATACCAATGAAATCGTTGGGCCGGAAAGAGGGTCAATCGCATGCGAAATGTCGCGAGAATTGGTTTCGGCTAGCCAAGTATAGGTACGCCGAGAAACAAGTTGCCTATATACAGACTGCATGGAGTTGGCATTTAGCGCTATTTGTATATACCGATCTGCCAAACGCGCGTTTGGCGCGCTGTACCTAATGTTTTCGCCGTTTATCGGCTTGCCGATAATGAAACGCGACTTGGAACCGCGGCATCCCACATTGTGATCTCGGCCTAGCCTGGAGATTACTACGGATACCTGTTGAACACCATTCACGGGTTGAATCCGCATTCACAGTTACACGCCAGCCCCGCTGTTCACCTCCACTATGAATACACGCGCGGCCGACTTGCGGGCCTACCGAGCTCCGACCCGCTATTGTTAAACGTGCCCGCGATCGTGCCAGTGCAAACTAGGCGCTCAGATTGCAGGTGTAAGTGGAAACGGGGGCGTTTCTCGTGCGGAGGATATCGGCGTTTCATCGCGACGAACACGGTTCGCATACGCGGCGTCAAATGCAGCTGCGCCTATCGCTTAAGCCCAAGGGGCTACTTATAGAGAAATTACAATTTTGAGTAATAATGGAAACGATAAAATATATGTGTATCAACGCGAAACATGTCTGTAGCAATCGATAAAGTTTTGAAGCAAACGCTCTATATCTGATAAATGATACTCGATCTTTTCTAATTCTTCGTGCCACGATATTGTCGATGATTAAGACGAACGTACAGTTCAAGGGTCCAGGGGAAGAATGGCGTTCACGAGAAAGCCGCGGGATTATTTTGATATCATCCGACAGAGATAAGAATGAAGGAGATGGGAAAACGCGCGGG